CGAGCCTTCCTCCAATCCTAATGTTACGTTCTTTGTCATATAGTCTAGTTTGTCAGGTGATTTGCTCCGCATACAGACTTAAGTATGGTGTGAGGATACAACCCAGACACACAACTATCCTGATTTTATACTATGCAGTATTCCCTTGTTCTGGTTTAATGACTGCCTCTAGGTCTAAGTAAAGGTTCTTTATGAACACAATTAAGTATTCTGGAATAGCCATTCTTCACAATGTTATCCATAATCTCTTATGATCTACACAGTCAAATGCCTTTGCAGACTCACTAAAATGCAGGTAAATGTAATTCTGGTATTCTGTGCTTTCAGTCAAGATCCATCTGACACCAGCCTTGATGTCCCTAGTGCCACATCCTTTTCTAAATCAGGTTTGAGTTTCTGGCAGCTCCCTGTGAATGCGCTGCTGAAACAGCTTTTGAATTATCTCCAGTAAAATTTTACTTGCATGTGATAGTAATGATATGGCTTGATAATTTCCACATTATTCTGTTGGATCACCTTTATTTGGAACAGACACAGATAGGATCTCTTCCAGTCAGTTGGTCAGGTAGCTGTCTTCCAAGTCCTCATGTTTATAGATGAGGAGGTGCAGAACAGTATTAAGTAGCAGGAAGCAGCAGGTCCATAGTTCAAGTGGCTCGAGGCCCTGTAACTGCAACCATCATTGCACCTTCCAGTGGATAAACTCAACATTTAAATCATTAGAATTCCAGATAATAAGGAGGGGGAAAGGGTAGAAATTGACAAAGAAATCATTCAAGAGAATCTGCTAGAATGGAATGAATTTTTATACTGATGGTCTATAGAGGGCCCAAGAGAATGGGTGAAAGAGAAAGTTTACATGAGAACACATTGAGAATTCCCAGAGAACTGGGGCAACGAGAAGGCCCTGAGTGAGTATTTCCAGAGAGAAAGTTCACAGGCATTGGTCAGAATTCATGAATGGGGCTAGAAGAAAATGACACAGTGCCCCAAAAACTCTAGGAAATAGGTTTTGACCTAGCCCAACTTTTGTACCTAGTTACACTTTCAAGCAAATGTGAGGGTAGGGCCCAAACCAACAGGCCAAGTCTCCATAAGGCCCCGCAAATCTCTCTCAGGAAACCCCAAGATGTTCCTTCTCAAATGAGGTCAATGAAGGAGAAGGGACGCGCAGGATCCTCAACAAGGGAGAGGAGGTGGCTCTTTCTCAGAGACTGGTGCCAGTGTAACCCAGCCTCACAACTGGACATGAACACACAGCCTGGCCCTGAGGTCTGGCATGGGAAGGTCACAGGAAAAGAAGAAACTGAGAGGCCAGTTACATGATGAGTCCCAAATATTGAGAGTGTACACTTCTGTATGGAAACCTAAGGAGGAGAAAACAAAGCCACCGAAAAACATTAGGCAATTATTAACCCCAGGGAAGATGGAAAGTTGTGCAAGAAAGGAAAAACCCACAGGACACTTTGACCTCTGCCAAGAACCTTGGGTGTTGTTATTCGGAGCCATCGATCAGCTCAAGCGAAACTGGGATGGATCGAATTGTGCCCCCCATGAGTCTCAGATTAGACCCCCCCAGAATGTGACCCTTATGTGATAAATCAGTGAGAAGACTGGCGCTCTTAGTGCCATTGAACTGGTTCTGACCCTGTATAGGGTTTCCAAAGAGCGTCTGGTGGACTTACACCATGAACCTTGTGGTTAGCAGTTCAGTGCTTATCCCACATCATCACACCAGTACTCCTGTTCTTGTGTGCCATGGAGTCGGTTTCAACTCATAACAACCCTGTATAGGGTTCCTTCTGACTCATAGCGACCCTATATAGGGTTTCCAAGGAGTGGCTGATGAACTTGAACCGCCAACCCTCAAGTTCAGACCGACCTTGCATCCAATGCATTAGCCCACAGCGCCACACCTGGACCCCATCCTACAGCACCCCTAATCCCACACTAGCCTGATCCAATGTGAGGGAGATTTCCAGGGGTGTGACATGCAGCACCTCTTATCTTAGGAGAGATTAAAGACGAGAAGTGAGTAGAGAAGGCAGGAAAAGGGGCTAGGAGTGGGGTGCACCCTGTGGACCTGGGGCCGCTGCACCGCAAAGCTCCTAGATCCAGGGGAAGACATGCTAGGATACATGGGCACTTCCAAGGAACGCTGGGCCTACAAATTCTATGACAAGGACCTTTTCCAGAGCCAGTGCTCTGGATTCGAACTTCTAGTCTCCAACACTGTGAGCGAATCAATTTGCTGTGGCAGCCATCCACTTGTGATGTTTCTGTTAGAGCAACACTGGAGAACTGTAGCCAATGACACTGTGTACAAACACCGCCAGGGACAGGGACAGGCCTGGGCTCCGTACCAGCCTCACAAGCATTTCTGTGAGTCTGTTGTTGGAGCCAGTGCATCTTGTTGAGGGCTTCCTTTTTCACTGATCCTCGACAAGAACCCCGTTAAGAAAGCCGTAGTCACTTAAGCAGCTGTGATGCTTCTCAGATTGGAAGATGCTGGGTCAGGAGACCAAGTCAGGTGACAACCCCCTCACCCCAAGATGCTATGTTGTTAAGTGCCATTGAGTTGGTTCCAACTTACAGCAACTCTGTATAGGGTTTCCAAGGAGCAACTGGTGGGTTTGAACCACCAACCCTGAGGTTAGCAGTCCAGTGCCTATATCCTATAGTGTGAAGTCTAAGATGCCAGTTGTTAAGTGCCATGGAGTCAGTTCCAACCCATAGCGACCCTGTATAGGGTTTCTGACGAATGGCTGTTGAGTTTGAACCACCAATCTCTTGGTTCAAACCCAGTATGCAGTCCAGCGCATTAACCCACAGTGCCACATCAGGTCTCCTAAGATGCCAGTAGGGAAGCCCTAATAGCATGGGAGGCCTCATTTAGAAGAAACAGCATCAGTCAAAGCATATTTGTTATCTTGTGAATCACAGACTGTAGATGCCAGACAAAAGGCTAAGAACTGAGTTAGGTGAGGATCAGGAGACAACTTTTATTGTTGTTGTCAAGTGCCATCATGTCAGTACTGACTCAGCAACCGTGTGTACAACAGAACGGAACACAGCCTGGTCCCACACTAGCCTCACAGTCACTGCTAGGCTTGAGTCCACTGATGCCGCCACTCTGCCAATCCATCTCGTTGGGAGTCTTCCTCTTTTTCTCCAGCCCTCCACTTTACCAAACATGATATCCTTCTGCAGAGACTGGTCCCTCCTGATAATATGTCCAAAGTATGAGACACAAATGTTTTTTTATTAGCCTTGAAAAAAATCATTCAAATTATAAAACAGGACATTTAAATAATTTTGAGAAGATAAAATTTTAGTTGAAAAAGTAAACAGGCCTTATTACATGAACCAAAGAAACTTATTGATCCTTTTAGATTCATTTTCATCATTGGGACATACTGTTCTGCTTGCCACTTTAAGATGAGCTAGAATCCGGCAACTTCGGATCACGGCTTCTATGTAGAATGTGTGAGTTACTTTAGATTTGTGATTTGAAGTTGAAAGGTGTGAGAATTTGAATCATGTTATAAGTAGTATTGGAATGCTTAAAACAGTGCAAGAGTCACTAGATCTGTGCATTAGTTTAGGTGTTATACCTTGATAAGACTGCTGTGTTTGTGTTTTTGCTTATGGCAGCATGGTAGACAGACTAATGGCCCCAAGTATGTCCAGACCTTAGCCTTGGAGCTTGTCAATGTGCTACTTTACACAGCCAGAGGGACGTGCAGAAGTGATTAGGGTCAGAACCTAGATAGAAATGGGAAGACGATCAGGATCAGCCAGGTAGACCCAAGCTCATCTCATGAGCCCTTAACAGCAGGGAACTTGTCTTTGCTGTAGAGAATCAGAGAAATGGTTTGTGAGGAAGATTTGGTCACTGTTGGTGGCTTTGAAAATGGAAGAAGGGGCCGTAAGCCTAGGGATGCAGGTGGCTTCTAGCAGCTGGGGACAGACCTCAATTTGTAGCCAGCAACAAAACAGAGACCTTGGTGCTACAACTGCACGGATCTGAATGCACCAACCACCTGACTGAGCAGGAACCACTGTCTCCCAGTTCTCTGAAGGATCCCAGCTTGCCAGCACCGTGCCTTCAGTCTGGTGAGACCCCTCTGGACCTCTGTCCGAGACCCGGCATATGCTCTTGTTAACTGGCCTCCCGGTTTGTGACCATCTGCGACAGCAGCCATAGATAACAAGTACAGCTGTCCGGGGCAGCCACCAGAATGCTCAAGAAGGAAGTGACGGGCTCTGGTTTAGACATGCGAGCGTACGTGCTGAAGGCTGTCTCGAAGCTTGCAAGTGGAAGCCAGCTGGTCTGAGACCTGAGGTGCATCCCTGACTCAGACAGGAGCTGAGTGGGAGACAGACGGCAAGCCAGGCGCTGACCCCCTTGGTGGGTCCCTTGGAGGAAGCCACAGGGGTAGGGGGAAAGCATCACAGGGGGCTGTTGGTCCCAGTCTTGAGTAGGGGGGAAGAAGTGAGGGGGGGCCCCAGGGTGGCCTGTATGGGACCTGGGGCATTGCTGACAATGGCTTTAACTTTGGAGTTTCTGTGAGACCAGGGCCTCCAGGTTTGCATTCTGCTTCTCCCTCTAGGCCACAGCCCTGTGGTCACTGCTACACACCCAGCAGTGCCTGAGACCTGCAGAGATTGCAGCCCTAGCTCCCGGCCACCCGCTCTCTCTGCAGGCAGTTTCCCCAGGAGGAGGGCTCAGGGGCCCAGGCACTGGCCAGCCAAGTTCCAGGAGACTCTTGGCCAAGGAGAAGGGGGATCCCAGGAAAGGGCCCTAGGGAGGAAGCCAGGGTCCATGGGGCATGGGGTGGGTCCTAGCCACTTCTACCTCAGGCTTCTTTACCCTCAAGGGACCAGGGCTCCTGGGGGGCGGGGCCTTGGCCTGCCAGGGTGTGTTCATCAGCTCCAGGCTGCCAGTGGAATAGGCAGGTCCTGGGCCCACATGGACCCCCCAGGCCGGGCCCCTGAGTTCAGGGCTGGGCCCCACGGTACTTGTGGAAGGTGTTCTCTAGGAAGGCAGCGAGCTTCGGGCGGTCGTCCTGCAAGGCCCGGGATGAGCAGGGGTCAGAGGAGCATGGCCTACCCACAGCCCTCCCAGTCTGGCTCTGCTGACGCCCAGTACACCCTGGCTGCCCACCCCGCAACCACAGGCTCTGGAGCCTCCTGTGTGCCCCTGGCTCCGCACCTCGTGGACGAAGCCGTAGTGCACAAGTTCGGCTGCCAGGTCCTTGGCGTTGTCGGCTGCGGGCAAGGGGCAGAGGACGAGACGTGACGCCACC